CATCATGAACACTGTCTCCCAGTCCATCATGAACACTGTCTCCCAGTCCATCATGAACACTGTCTCCCAGTCCATCATGAACACTGTCTCCCAGTCCATCATGAACACTGTCTCCCAGCCATCACATGCAGCAGCTGAGGCACGGAAGGGCGCCTTCACTACACCAAGGATCACTTTCCTTCCAGCTGCCATCAGGGCATTTGGCTCTATAGGCCAAACCAGCCAGTCACTCGCCTGCTTGCAAACTGTAACAATGCTCACATTCACTTCTCTTATCTATCCATCCGTTTATTTTTGTTATCTCTTGCTCAGTTTGCACTGCAGATTTTGCATTGTTACGGTCTGTACACATCCGTATTTCAATAATGGTTTCTAATTATTGCACAAAACAGCTTTTTTTGTACATCGGTATCTTGTACACAAAGGATTTCTATTTTTATATTTAAATTACTCATTTCTATTTTTTTTCCAGCTATAGGAATGACTAATTTTATTCCTTTGTGCATTTGATGCTGTAATGGCTATATCTATCTATCTATCTATCTATCTATCTATCTATCTATCTAACAGTGTTTTACTCTGAGGAGCCAAAACTAAAAGTATTAATGTTTTCATAACATGTTAGTTGTCTATTCCCTATATATTCGGCAAACGTACTTCACACTAAGCTTTAGTTCGCGATTAAAGGAGGGCACTCACTTATATCCAATGTCATCCCAGCTCCTGTGAACCATGTGCAGCTTCTGGATGTGCTGGAGCTGAAGGAAACATTGCCGGGGTCCGGCACAGGGCCAGAGAGCAGTGTGATGGATGACGGCCTTCTTAGCGGCATCCGTCAGTCTGTGCCGGCTGAGCGGTGCCGTAGCTCCCCAGCGCTCCCGAGATACCACCATCGGACACATTCCCGCTTGAAGGTATGAGGCAGGAGTAACAAAATTACTCATCTTTTATATAAATGTACATAAAATAATGAGCAACTACTTAGATTTTAAGCCACCAACGCCTTGCATGAGAATGCGGTATTACATTTCAGCCTCAACACACACATTCACTGTTCAGCTTGCGATAAAAACCAGTAAAAATATCTGTAATGAACTTGGTATGTACAGTGCAGTGCAGGTACTCGTCGCAAAAGTGACTCACCTGGCTCGGCATTATGACTCGCTGTCGTTTCCACTTTTTCTTTCGCCTGGTTCTTTGAGTCCATTTACGGTGCTGAAGCCCAGCTTCCGGCTCACTTCGTATCTAGTAACGTTCATACCTTGTTCGACTACAATCGCCGTGTTTCGACGTGCAGCGGCCGGTTTTAATGGAATCAGGCGGCTGATTACCGAGGTTGCTTGCGGGTGGAGTCACCGCAGTTCTAGTAGTTCCGCCTTCCGCGGACTTTCCGTGAAGTTCCCTGCGTGCCGAGCCCTAAGATAAACCTGCTAATCCCGACTTAGTGCCAGCAGTTTTTGTCGTTTGTCATGTAAAGCCTTCAGCTGATGTGTGGAAGTTCTTTCGACATCAGGGTAAATCCTAATTTCACACTTAATGAAAAATAATTTCGAAATCCTCACGGAAATACAATTTTGAACTTATATTTTGGGAAGAGGAAATGTAGAAGAACACCATAAGCCTAATTAAACAGCACATGGTTGCAAGGGCATAACTTTGGGTTGGACATTTGGGGGGTTGAGAGCTCCACCGGTTTAAGACCGCGGTTCATTTAAGGGGCTTGTATTGGATGGTTTTGATTATTGGGGAATTTATAACAGAACCCCCCCCCCCCCCCCCCCCACACACACTCCACCCCCATAATTTACACCCATGCATGGTTGTATTTTAAAATTAAGTGTTTTATGTTTATTTATTTTATATTTGACATTATGTCAGCCTTTTTGAGTTGGCGGCAATAAAAAAAAAAGCATGGCGACTGACTGGAATTAATTAATTTATTATTCTCTGATAATCATAACATATCAAAAGACATACTAGGGTTATAAACCCTAATTTTTAAAAATAGTCATTCAATCCATTTGATAGTATTTTCTCCAATACAGTCTATGAGAGTGAAAAATAAAATGCAGTGAAATATTTATTAACATTTCTGCTTAATGCATTCAGTAAATTAATTTTATTATTTGAATATTGCCCGATATTATATTTATACACTAAAGAAGTCCACACAATGCGGCCATGGGTGAGTGGGGGGGAGGGAGGGGGCTCAGGAGGACTGACAGAGGACTGGGAAACTCCATCCCTCTGGGTTAATTGTTTGAATGATTAGTCACTTCTCTGTATCCTTTTTGTCTCTCTGAGAATGACATGCTTTGCCTTGGCTTGTCTAGTATACCTTGTGCTAAAAAAATCCAGGTTTTATAATGACGTTTTTGGATGACTAGGGTATGACAAAGCGAAAAGGAGTTTTATACTATTGTGAAACAAGGTGCAGGATACAGTCTGCATGTAAACCTTATCATACAGACGTACACAACACAAGAAAAAAGAAAGTAAAGAAAAAACATCAAAATACATTGAGTACTCTTTCACACTAATTTCTTTTCCAGTGATTTTATAAAAGCTTGATATTGTGTTTGTGTGATTTACTAGAGAACGTCAGTGAGAATTCAAGCCACACCCAGTTACTCCGTTTTCTTTTAAATGTTCTGGAGACACAAAAGGTCACGTTCTTTATGTAAATACTAGGAGGAGAAAAAGCTACATTTGGGTAAAAATGAAAGGTCACCACCTCTGCGGTCCTATCATTTTTACTGTGAAGTTGTTTTACAAGTTGTACTACTTTTAGTTTCTAAAGGTCAAGGGGCTTATTTTGATTTTTTTCACTGTGCAACACTGACAACACTGACTTTCTCTTCCTCTTTTACATTCTCCAAAGAGTATTAGTAAGCATGATTATTGAAAATATGTTTGTTTAACATTAATTAAATCCATATAGAAGTATACAAAAATGTACATATATGAAAATGTGATAGGCACAATATGCAACTGCTTATTAGTCAACTCATATTTATTTATAGATCACTTTTAAATGACAGTTAAACTCAAAGTGCTGTACAAACGATATACCAAGAAAACACGAAAAGACAAAACAATGTAACAAGATGCATTTAAATGACAATGAAAGACACTGAATCAACAAAAACAATGAGACTTAAAAACAGTGATAACTGGTAATCAAACATCTCTCAGACTGAATTAAAAGCTAAGGAATAAAAGTGTGTTTTTAGATGGGATTTGAAAGCAGGCAGTGAAGGTTCCATTCTAACATTCCTAGCAGCTACTTCTTGGCTTGCCACCTGTCCTAAGCCACTAGTGTCATTTCATTTGTAAAGCAGTTTCTCTGGAATGAAAATGTTTATGATATTATGTTTCTGGTGAGCTGACTGAATGGAATTAGTGACAATTAAAGCTGACTTTGGGATTTTGGTATCAGAGTTCTTTCTACAGTGGGTAGTATTTTGATGCGTGACTCTGACAAGTGAAAAAGAGCCTGTCACAATGAAATAAATGTATTTTACTGCAAATGGGAAAACTGCTACAGCAATTCTGCTGGACAGTTATGATTGGATAAAGGATTGTATACCATGTTATAACTGGTCACATATAAGGTAGGTGGTTTGTTTTCAGCCTTATTTTATTTGCGCACTAAAGGATTTTTATTCAAAGGATATGACACTAAATTGGTTGCTGTACCTAGAAAATGTAGAAAATTACCTTTATTATATATTACTAACCAGATTTTTTTAAGTCAAGAATGCAGGAGAAATATCATTTATTTGATGGCATTGAACAGTCACGCTAATGAAACTGTATAGCAAAAACAAATTTAAGATAGTTAGTTAACATACTAAAATGCCCAGGGTCAAATACATAAGCTGTTCGCATCTATAGTTACCATATCAATTTCCTGCCGTGTTAAAAGCACAACGTTTACTGTGTTGTTTTTTTAATAAAAAGAAACTTTGCTTTTTAAATCCTGGGTTAGTTACTGAGAATGGAGCCTTCAGACCTTTACGCTGCTTATCCTTGTCCTTAATAGCAGCCCCACCTAAAGCCCGGCTTTGGCTACCTTTATAAAAACTGGCAGTGCTCCAGAAAGCAGGCAACAGTGAAGCCCTCACTGTCTGAAGGGGGTTGAGGGATAGCAGCCTGACAGATGGAAGCCTATCCATAGGCTCAGTACTGTGACTTACTGCCTATTATAGCACTGTTAGCTATAACAAGATGGAAGCCTATCCATAGTGTCAGTACTGTGACTTACTGCCTATTATAGCACTGTTAGCTATAACATAAGAATTTATCCTGTGAATCTCCCTTCCTGTTTACGCTCTACACGCTGCACATCCGGTACAACACCCAGCTCATGCCACCTAAAGAAGTCCTCAGGTGACTCTCCCATTGTACAGTATATCAGCAACGGAGATGAGCTAGAGTACAGAGGACTAGTAGAGGACTTTGTCTTGTGGGGCAGGAAGAGCAACCTGCAGCTCAACATCAGCAAGGAAAAGGAGCTAGTGGTGGACTACTGGCGTAACAGGAAGTCCAAGACCAGTCACTCTCCAGGGTGAGGGGGTGGAGGTGGGGCGGGGCTACAAGTACCTGGGTGGGCACCTGGACAGCAGACCGGGGTGGGCGGACAACACAGCAGCGGAGTAAAAGAATGGCTAAAGTAGACTCTACATTCTGAGTGGGCTGAGGTCTTCTAATGTGTGTAGCAAGCTGCTGTGTGTTTCATCAGACTGTGGTGGCCAGCCTGCTTCTCTGAGCTATGTCCTGCTGGGGAAGTGTCATCAGTGCAGGTGATGCCAAATGCCTGAAGAAACTCGTCAGGAAAAGTTGGACAATATTTTAAACACCCCCGCCCACCCTCTTGAGGGGGGGTACTACCCTGGACCACATTTAGCCACCGGCTCATTCCACCATGACATGCTAAGAAGCGCCACTGGGGCTTCCTTACTGCCTGCTGCCATCAGACACCACAACGTGTCACCATCCCCCCCCCCAAACCCATCTGGGCAATAGAAAAAGTCTGGTCTGTTTTTGACTTGCACATTTTAATTGCACATTTCTTATTATTCTCCCTAACATTTATTTCATTAATACTCTATAATATTCTCTTTTTTCAGGATTCTATTTGTCTTCCCAGTAATTTCTGGGATCAAGAAAGTTAATCTAATCTAATATAAAGAATATATCCCGTGAATATATAATAGTGTCAGTGTGATACTGTAACATAAGAGTATATGATGTGATACTGGGAAGCTGTTCGTATATTAGGAACAGATGTCAGTTTTATTTCTTGTTTCATTTCCATTTAGTGAGAATGTGACACCAAGTGACAAAGTGTGACCACAAGGCTTATCATGTTACTGCTGACCGGAGAGACAGACAACCCCCCCAAAAATCCCATTTTTTATAAAAGTCTGCTGACTGCTGTCTTCAGATTACTGCTGATCACCGTGCTGAGTGACCCAAAGCATTCTTGGAACTGTCCCTACGTGTAAAACTCTAAGCATGTTAGTGTAAAAGCCATGAGTTATTCCTGTTATGCCCAGTGTTGGAGTTTTCATCATCTTCTCTCATGGTGATTCCTGCCAAAGAACCTGACTGCAACTAAATATATATACATTTAAACTGTTTGTAGGAAAGTAAAGCTTTTTAAACATAAACAATAGTTGATTTTTTTATTTAGAAATTTGATTCCAACAACAATAAGTGATTATTCATCACCATATTTATGACACAGTCGTGAAATGTAACTTTTCTCAGGATATGTAGGGTATTTTCATGGCTGTTGCTAGACCCCTTTACTGGGCCCTGTACCCCAGTATTGATCTTCTGTGGCCCAGTCAAAAAATGGGAAAAGAATGGATTTTTTTTTTACTAATCCGCAATATCAAAACAATGCAGTTTAACTCAGAATGCAAGCTGAGGGGTGCAGCTTGCGGTCCAGGTCCGTACACCACGAGGTGCACATTACTGTGCGTGCGCAGCAGTGTGCATGTAATATTCGGTGCGCGAAATGCGCACATTACTGTCCGTGCGCAGCAGTGTGCATGTAATATTCGGTGCGCGAAATGCGCACATTACTGTCCGTGCGCAGCAGTGTGCATGTAATATTCGGTGCGCGAGATGCGCACATTACTGTTCGTGCGCAGCAGTGTGCATGTAATATTCGGTGCACGAGATGCGCACATTACTGTCCGTGCGCAGCAGTGTGCATGTAGTAGCTGGTGCACGCGGTGTGTATGCAGCAATCCGTGTATCTGCGTGCAAAACGAGAATCAAGACTGAGGACAGGATGCAAGTAAATTTTAAAATATACCGATGATCTTATTTTGATTTGACTGAAACATTATTGATTCCTGTAGATGGACACCAGTATGGCAGTGGCAGTAATAGTGGGCTAAGTGAGGGAAGTTCAAATGGCACATCGTATAGCACATTTCATACAAGAGGCAGGCGTGCGAGAAAAAATGGTGTGATTTGAGTAATGGGGGGTCCTGTGCCCCAGTAGAGCTTTATGTTTAGCAACAGTCCTGGGTGTTTCTCTTCCTGGCTAGTTAGATACTACAGTGAGCCCACTTTGTTCCGAGGTGTGTGGGAATACTGCCTCCCTTAGGTTTTCATTAGAAATGCGTTCTCTGTGCTCACTACTAACAGCTAGGCTAATGTAACTTTCTCGTTATACCAGAAAGTCCACAGAAGCACTGGTTAGTACCAGTATCCTGACTGAACGCACAGGGAATGAACATACCTGAGATCTTAGTCATCAGCGGTAGGCTTTGCTGTCAAAGATGTAGATGTGTATCAAATACCTTCTGTTATTCACTCACATAAAGTTTACATGTCTTTACGTTACAGCAACATTCTTCTGGATGTTTTTATTGCAGTTTAAGTCTCGTCCATCTGCACTCCTGACCCTTCTGAAAATTATTTTTTCATCATGGACTTTTTTTTTTTTATAGATTAAGGGACAGTAATTGCACAGTGTAATGAGCTGGCAAATTTTAAAATTCAGAGTATGCCTCCTGTGTAGGCCTACATTGTGTGTGAGGTGGTGTGTGCTTCAAAAACCTGAGTTTGTCAGTCGGTTATAGTTGGGCAGCCCAGGACAGTCCGCTGTGGTGTGACCTGTGCTGCGTGATCTCATTTCTGCAGACAGGAGTGGTGGAAATGCACCAGTCTGCCCCCAGGGGGCGCTTTTTTACAATACACACATGAACCTTCAGAACCTGGTCCTGCTCTCGGCAGAGTGATGTGGCTTTCCTTTCTGGCCCCAGTGCCTGTTCCTGATATCTGGGAGGGGCATAGTGAGGTAGTCGGCCATTTCAACTTGATGGACGGGGTGCCTGGGAACAGCAGTGGGGACTCAGGACAGCTCTGCACTCTGCTGGCGGCTCCAGGCCTGCAGCTCCACCCCTGCTGCACACACAAGCAGGTAGCTCTCACCGGTGACCCCTGGCCTCCACACCTGAGATGGTCGGGTGGATGGAGAGGGGGGGGGGGGGGGGAGTGGAATGAGGAGAGACAGGAGATGGATAAACAGCAGCTTCATACATACATCAATATACAGTGGTACCTCAGTTCTTGAACTCATTAAAACTCAAATCTTAAAAGTCGAACCAACCAGTTCGAAAAAAAATTACCTAGAACTCGATCTGAATCTCAGAAGTCAAACCGTGAACGCGGACCTAAGATAACTTGTATGCGCGGGGAAATGAGTCACGCGACACGTCTCTCAGCGGAAACAAAGAGTAACGCTTCAGTCTCAGCTTCACATTGGCTGTGATAGCATTGTGCATGTTTACACTAGCTGAATACATATATTTAGACAGTAAAAATACATTTAGACAATGATAGACAGTAACAGTAATTATTATTATATAATAAAATACATTTAGAAATAAAGATTTCTTATTAATTATTTTAATATCATTACTAATAAACCATTAATACATTTAATTATAATAATATTGTCCTGCCGAGCAGGGACAGAACGGAGACAAAGGCGCAGACATCAGGGTATTGGGGAATACGGGTTTAATTACAGGTAAGGCAGGCAAAACGCAGACGGACAATACAATGACCGGACTGGGGAAACAAACTGAAACGCGGACTAAATACAGAAGACTAATGACAACAACCAGAAACAGCTGATCACACGGGGATTCCACACGCGGTTAAAGAAGGGGGCGTGGCACACGGAAGGAGCGGACGATCGGGGCAGGACACATTGTTTTTTTTAACTTTACACATTGTTTGGATGCATTTATTTTCTGACTTTATTACTGTTTTGATAAATGTGCTTAGATGTGTATAGTACAGTATATGCTGTTCTTGTTTTAGCCGGTTCATTTTGTGTTTAAATGCTAAAAAAAAATAAAAATATTTAGGTGTAATTTTTTTGGGGCCGGGAACCAATTAATTGGTTTTCCATTGTTTCTTATGGGGAAAATTCGATCACAACTCGAAATTTTTAGGATTCGATCTGGAGTTCTAAAAGGATTAAATTCGAGTTCTGAGGTACCACTGAATATTGGACTGAAATTGCATGTAAAATTTAATACCATCTTGCAAAAGTGCATAAAAGAACAGTGTTATCTATGCAACAACCTCTTACAATAAGGCTGGTGTGATGACCATATTCAGGTTTAAGCTGTAAATGGAGAGCCATTAGTGTGCAGCATTGTAACGTTGAAATAATTAAGGTTCCTACCCTGTGAAACAGAAGCAGGTGTCTGTGCAGACGGATGACCAGTGGATAATGGCAGGCAGGGGGCGCCAGCTTCCCCTGCAAACACAGGCTGAAGGTGAGGACATGGAAGGAGAGGGGGTTCTTGCAGCAGGGGTGGTCAGTTTTGCTTTTGCCGCTGGTTACACCACTATATTACACGCAGTGCTTACCTATGTTTGGCATCACTTAATCCACAGTGTGGATGAGGCAGATCATATTTACAGCCTACATTAGACATGGAAACACACAGGATAAAGAGGGCTTACATCCCCTGTAGCATCCAGGCGGTGGGCAGGCAGGAAGAGGTGCGGCTCGTGGATATTGAGCTCTATGGTTGGAGAATTGAGACATGGGTTAGGGCTGCCAGCTTTGTGCAGTGCTGGGCAGAGGAGGTGTGGCTGCAGTTACAGCCACGGCAGCACTTGCTTGGGCCTGGGCAGGGGAACACAGTGCTGACTATGCCCCATTGCTGCTAAACTCGCTATCTAATGGCTAGTGATGGCTAAATGAAGCGGCATGAACCAATTGCTATATATTCTGACACCACTAGATCTATTCAAAAAAAGGGCTCAATTCATATTTCAACGCTAACCAAGGGCGCCATCTAGTGGAGTAAAATAAATGCAGAAAATGGTTTGTGAAATTTCATTTGGCCATCACTACTAATGGTGCTTTTCCAGTGGTATACAGGAACTGACCTGTACCTGAGCCGTACCACGAAGACAGACTAGTTACAGTGCAGTTCCAGCTCACTTTGGTTTTCCACTGCACACTGCAGAAAGGTCGGCTCGGTAAAGACGTTGCCAGGTTTGGAGAGTAACAGTGACATAAAACCAAAGAGGAGCATAGATATTGTCCACACGGTATACATAATGATTACATAATGATTTACTATCTGCAGTCTGTGGTGGGACGGAGTGGTGGCTCTGAGGCTAGGGATCTGTGCTAGCAACTGGAAGGTTGCTGGTTCAAATCCCATGAATGCCCAGAGTGATCCTACTCTGTTGGGCCCTTGATCAAAGGCCCTTAACCTGTAATTGCTTCATCCTGAGTATGACTTTAATCTACATCCAGCCCTATAAGGACATCCTCCAATTTACAGGGAATTACTTGGGGGTTGGTGGCAGGATTGGTGCTTCAGACACCGGAAAAAACCTCACACTGGTCCATTCGGACTAGTGTGGTGCTGAGGTGTCACCCACCACATGGCTGCACTCAGGTTCTCATCCCTGAGGTGGTTTGTCATGTCGTGGGTGTGGCAACACGCTGTAATCAGTGCATGCTCCTTACCTCCTATGTATGTGAGAATCACTGTGTTATGTTAGCATCAAACGGTAGTGGAGTTAGCTTTCGCTTGTGTAAATTTGCATTATGAATCCATTCTGTTCAGCAGTTGTATAGTACTTTTCTAGGTAGGAAGTTCGAAATTTTCAAGTTCCATGATACAGGGAATTCATTAAAACATTTGTCACGCTACTAATGAATAATGAATATGCCATTTTTTTCTGTCAGAAAATCCATGCCTATTGCTTCAGATCACTGGTAACTCACAGCAATCAGATAGATTTCACACTAACATGGGTCATACAACATCAGATAGTGGTGAAACAATCAACTCGGTTAGGTCACACACTGGGATATGTCAGCATGAGTATGGCTCAGTTCCTGGTGGCAATGGGAAAGCGCCATAACACTGGATGTCAGTCACATGGGCGGGGGGCTGTCACCCCCACAGCATGACGCTCTTGATGATAGGCCTGATGGTTACCTGTCAGCCGCCTGGCTCTTAGGCTCTCTAGCTCCCCTTGTAGCTGCCTGATCTCCTCCTCCAGCCCCCTGCTCCTCTGCTCTGCTTCTTGCAGCTGTCTGAGTGAAGCAGCCAATCAGAATTACGCTGAGCAAAGTGTCACATAATGTGTCCGCCATTAATGACGCTGGTCCGGCTCTTCCCTTTACCAGGAAATCTAAGCGCTAACCTGCTCTTAGCGACTCGTCTGGTCCATGCTAACGGCTTAAATTAAACCTGTACTTCAGGATCAGGACTCAAACAAAAATTGTGTCTGCTTTCTTTGCAATCAAACCAACACCTGTTCTGTACACCAATTATTATTTAGTCCATCCACACATTTTCCAACCGCCTAAAACCTATCCCAGGTAGCATTTTTAATTATTTTCAGTGTAATTGTAAACCCCTTTGTGTAGTTTTATTGATGTTATGCGGCCTTTTTATTTTGGTTTCCTGTAACTTGGCCAGTCCCATACCTGTGCAGCTCCATAGTCATTGCAGCATCCAGGTCAGTGTCGTCGCCGTGCACATGTCCTGCAGGGCCCTTACTCAACACTAGATGGTGCTCAAACGGTTTCGGCAGCTCCTCCGATACGCTTTCTGTGAGCTGCCATGGAAACCAAGCAAACACCACCTCCAGTAATAATCCAGAAAGCATCCCTCTTTTAAAAACAGACTCCAAATAACAAAGTGTGGTGACCACAAAAAGTCGGTAAACAGTCCTGGTTTAAGGATTTCGGGTGTTTTTCTCTGTACCAGGTTATCCCGAATGAGACCCTCACTGTCCCCGCTCTGCTGCTTGTCTGTACTCATCACGGTGTCGCGGCTGCAGTCCTTGGTCTCCCTGAAAAATGAATACGAGGAACTCTTCAAAAGGCAGGCTTATTACTCATTAGCGAATGTGAGGACACACCAAAGGCTACAGGCGGTGGTGGAGAGGACAGGCTACCCAGTGGCCATGTAAGAGTATCCCACGAAGGCCAGGTGAGCCCCTGCGGGTTGGCTGCCCCTCATTCCACTCAGAGCCTCCTGTGGGATTAACATTCGTAATGGTTAAACTGGGTGCCGTGGTGCAGCATCACAAGGTGACCCATGTGTTTATAGTGGCTAATGCTGGGGAACCGTGAAACCAGAAAGATCCACGGAGTCTTACCATGTGATGGTTCACGTTACATTGCTTTAGATTTAAATCAGTATTTGCATGCGATGCAGCGGAAGTATCTTGCATGAAAGATAACATTGTAGCTGCTGAATGACAGGGAGGCTTAACACACGAGATGCAACCCCCCCCCCCCCCCCCCCCCGCACTATCCTAAAATACCATTCTGCTGAGGCAGTCATCCACCACATCAAAGTTGGAAGTGTCAGTGCCGTTGGAGACCGTAGGCTGGTAAGGGGGTGTGCAGTGGTGTAGGGTGGCCCAATGCACACCACTAAAGAAGGGATGGCCCCAGAAGTCCAGGGCCCCCCCCGCTCCCAGGCGCTCCTGCGGCTCGCAGATCAGGCCTTGGATGAGGGAGCGGCCCTCAGCTGACACCGCAGCAGCCAATGGCGGAAACTCAAAGTGCTCCTGAGCCAATCAGGAAGACACAAGTATGACAAGCAAGATGATGAAACGTCTGCACGCAGATATCAGAAATCCAGCTAATACAATATATGAAAAAATCAAATGCAACTGGTATAAGTACTGGAAGAATAGTGACATTTTGATAAATATTGTCCCTGCTATACAATGTTAAATGGATTTCTTATTTTTAAACCCAATTTGGGTTAAATGCCAATATGCAACATGGGAGATGATGTAGCGATAAGAGCCTCACTTGGAAGTGGAGGATTTTGCCGTAGGTCTCAGGCAGGGACTCGGCGTAGAATGGCGTGCTGCCGAACAGCATCTCAAAGGCACAGATCCCCAGGGCCCACCAGTCACACTCGGGGCCGTACCCCTCCCTACTCTCCAGCGCCCGGAGGATCTCTGGGGAGAGGTAGTCCGGGGTCCCCACTGCCAGGGAGGAATGCACCTTTTGGGGGGAGGGGGGAGGCATGGGGGATATATCATCTTACATAGAGGAGCGTCTTGTGGCCTTTTCCCATGTGTGGTTCATCTAGGGTAGTCATATTTGTGGACGCGCATACAAAAGCTGTGAGTGTTCTGGGGGGGTTGCTGTAGATGGGTGAGCTCCAGCACACAGTGCACCTCCTACCCAGTCACCCACCATGCCGTCCTCCTGGAGCCTCAAACAGGAGCCGAAGTCCCCCAGCTTTACGTGGCCATCTGCAGTCAATAGGATGTTGTCAGGCTTAATGTCTCTGAAAAGGGGAGGGATCACACATGACCTCATGTGAACACATGTGGCTTAGTGTGAACACACACGGACTAACACGTGGCTTAGTGTGACCACACGTGGTCTAACACGTGGCTTAGTGTGACCACACGCGGTCTAACACATGGCTTAGTGTGACCACACGCGGACTAAAACGTGGCTTAGTGTGACCACACGCGGTCTAACACGTGGCTTAGTGTGACCACACGCGGTCTAGCACGTGGCTTAGTGTGACCACACGCGGTCTAGCACGAGGCTTAGTGTGACCACACGCGGTCTAACACGTGGCTTAGTGTGACCACACATGACATCATGTGACCTCACTCGGCCTAATGTGATCACACACAGCCTGACATGACCATACATGGCCCAGCATGACGCACAGGCCTTAACTGTGTTGAAGCGCAGCATATGACTAGTCAGCTTGCTGATCAAATTCAGCAAAGGTCCTTAACCAAGACCACATGACCACATTTGACCAGGTTTATAAGTACACCAGCCACGGCTTACCTGCAAAAAGAGGATGTGTGTGAGAGCGCTCACCTGTGCACATAGCCCAGTTTGTGGACAGAATCGATGGCCATCACAATCTCTGCCAGGTAGAACTGGGCCATTTCCTCAGGAATGTGGTCCCCAAATTTACCGAGGAGCGTGAGAAGATCACCACCCACACAGTAGTCCATCGCGAGGTACTAGTAAGTGGAGACAATGGTCAAGTCAAGTCAATTAATGTTTATTGCCATTTCCTTCATATACAGCTATACAATGACACAAGATAACATTCACCCAGGACCATGGTGTGGCATAAGGACAGCAAGTGGAGGGTTTGCAAAGGACTTAGAATGCAAAGCACAGGACTGTGTGAAACGGGGGCAGGACATGATGGTTTATATGCATGGTGCAATGTCTCAAGGAGTAGAGTAGATACAGTATCTGTTGACTAACAATACATAGATAGATTTGATTTGGGGGGGGGGGGTGTAGGGGATGGGGTGACCTGCAGGGGATTTAGTGTCCTGACAGCTTTGGGGAAGAAACTGCTGCCAAACTTGGCAGAAGTGGCTCGGAAACTCCTGTACCTTCTGACAGAGAGTCCCTGGGAAGGGAGGGAAGGTGTCCCTTCCATATTGTGTGGTGGAACGCTGCAGCTGTGCCTAATGCAGGTCGGGCAGATAAGCACGGTCCCCAGAAAGTTCGTCATGACTGCCCACTGTCTGTAGTGGCCCATGGGGACCCTCAGCAGCGTCAGAGCAGAGAGGGACACACACCAGGTAGTTGTCATCCTGAAAGGCGTAATGCAGCGCAGTGATCCAGCGCCGGTCCCCTCTGACTAGGACCTCCCTCTCCTCCTGGTAGCATGCTGTCTGTGTCGGCACATGCATTAAGGGGGAGATGAACATCCTCAGGAATCAGGACGGTCTAAAGCCGATCAGGGGCTTCAGGCTTCCGGCTGTTGGGATATTGCAGCTGCCCTCGGCCCTCACCTCTGCGTGATTCAGTATCTCCCACTTGTTCATGATCTTCAAAGCATACGCCTGCTGTGTTCTGCGCAGGCGCGCCACCGCAACCTGCAGCCGGGGAGAGCAGAGAGCACAAGCATGAGTGAGGGCTGGGGGGAAGTGGGGGGGGGGAGGGGTTAGTGAGACTTTTCATGGTGCACCCCACCTCGCTGAAGGTTCCTCTGCCGATCACCCCGAGGATGTCAAAGTCTGCCCTCTGGATGCAGGTTTCCTTCAGTTTTGTCACCAGGGGCTCCGCTGCGGTTCAAGGAGTGTAAGATGAGTGACTCTTCACTTTTAGGGGCATTACAACACACGTCATGGAAAGAACAGACATCCATTTAACCCCACTTCCCTAAAGTAAAACGTAACTTTTCACTGAATTAGTTTTTAACAGTTAAACAGCTTATAATAGAGCAACAGGTAAATCACCAGATGGTTGCCTGACAAAGAAATGGCATTCTTAAAGGCACGGTGCCTGGTCTGGTACGTCACATTTGTGCTGGAGCCAGAAAAGACGACATATGTGGACAGAGAAAAGGTCACTTCTCCTTTTAATAACCTGGATGTTCAAAATAGATCAGCGAAGTGTAGCTACAGTAGCTAAAGCCATTTTTAAGGGCAAGTATTCCAGTACTGTGGATTCCCACCCCTGTGACTCTGCCACTTGAAAAGGGTGTTTCCAACGCAGGAAGGAAAGCAACTGTTTTTTAGGAAAAAGCGATGGAGATTTCAGAGCAGCAGGCTGTGGCTTGTCTCTCAGCGCTTAGGGAAAGCCAGCCACCCCAATAACAGGTGCTCGCCTCTTTCCTCTCCCCATGCTATTCCTGTCCTGGACAGACCACCAAACTGGCGAGATTTAAGGGCAGCTTTACTGGACTAGAATATATGAGTATATGAGTAAGTGATGGTACCACGGGGATTTTGAAACAGGGTATGTTTTAATTACATTATCAGGCCAAAACACTGCTTGATCTTACTGAACTCATTTTTCAAATATTTGCAGTGACAGAGGGCTGGAGCAGCAAATTGCCAGTGTTTTGCTGTTGAAGTATGGCCAGCAGATCAAAGATATTCACA